AACGTCAGGGTTAGGGGGTGGCCCGGGTCTCCTCCTCTTAGGAAAGGCTAGTTATGATGCTCTGGAGTCTATGTTACTCAGGAAAATTCGTTGGAAAAGATGCTAGAAAAAACTGAACGACATCTGTGGACGAGTAAGAGTTTTTGAAGTCTGAGCTATATTTTAATGGATCCTTTTTAGCATTGATAATTTCAGACCATCCATGTGTAACAGGCCATCCATGTGTAACTTAGGCCAATTTTTGGTTTTGATCTGTAATTAAAAAAATTTTTTAGTATCATTTACCTCAAATTATTTAGTTGCTTTTCAATGATGAATTTCATTCTCATTCCACTGTTGATTGTTGAATTTAATCAACCTAATGGCAAACTAATGGCATCTTGAAGAGGGTGGTTCAATTGAAAAAAAGTTCTTCCAAAAAATCCTTGTTCCAAAGCAGTACAATATCCCAATCAAAAACTCAATTTTAGAAGAAATTAGAAACGGAATGAAAAGAAAGTAGGTAATTAGAAAATAAATCCAAAACCATACAATTCCATGGAGGCACCAAAATTAAATAAAAAACTTGAAAGTCTAAGAAGAATAAAAGAAGAGATTTAGAAATAGGTACAATCAATACAGAAGAAAGCATAAAGAAAAATACCGTTAGCCTTGTTTGATAGCATCATATCTAAATATATAAAAAGAAAAGTGAAACTTGATATGATAGCATTTCCACAATGAAGAAAATGCAGGAGACAAATAGAGATATGATGAATTGAAAAAAATGGGAAATAAATTGGGAAAGATGGCATGAAAATGATTAAAGACATTGATATAAGTGAAACATGAATGAATGATAGCATTCTCATAATGAAGAAAATATAGGAGACAAATAGAAAGAGATATATGATGAATTAAAAAAAAATGGGAAATAAATTTAAAGACAAAAACAAATACAAATGAATAGGACAGTCGTTACAAGAGTACAAATAATAGATGACATAATTATGTCTTCTCTATTATTTGTATTTTTTTTGGCGTCTTTCTTCAAATGTCATATAATAATGGCGGTAGCTGGCTGTAATTGAGCGATTAAAAAATTATCATAAATAATTTTTTTCAAATGGAAACCCACTTTTTATTTCACTGATGAAAAGGTATTTCATTTCGTTACTTTTTAACTATACATGTTCCTATACCTAAAATAAATAATTTTTAAGTTATTTAAGATTTAGTTTTAAAGCGTATTCAAATTAAATCTAAAATAACTTAAAAACGATTTATTTTAGGTATAGGAACATGAATAGTTAAAAAGTAACGAAATGGAATACCTTTTCACCAGTGAAATAAAAAAGTGGGTTTCCAATTGAAAAAAAAATATTTTCATTTTATCTAGCTTCCTTTGACATTAAGTGTCAAACAGACAGACAAATTATTTCCCTCTGTCAGAAAACGAATTACTTGAATTTCCTATATTATAAATACTGCCTGCCTTAAGAGTTTAAAAAGTGTATTTATAAAAATATATCTCGTATTTTCGCTCGTTAGTGATACCTAATAGTTGATATTAATAATATTCCGTATGATCGAAAAAAAAAACAGCGCAAAGTTGGCTCGGAAATGATGGTGCTTTTTGAACAAAGCGTCACAATATGATGGCTACTGGTTAAAATCAAGAAAAATATACGCTTTAAAACTAAATCTTAAATAACTTAAAATGATTTATTTTAGGTATAGGAACATGTATAGTCAAAAAGTAACGAATTGAAAAGCCTTTTCACTAGTGAAATAAAAAAAATGGTTTTCCATTTGAAAAAAATGATTTATGGTAATTTTTTAATCGCTCAATTCTATGACAGCTGCGGCCATTATTATATGACATTCGAACAATTTAATTTTTGAAATAGATAGCCACATGTTTTCTCTTTGTGGCAAAGTGGCTGTGGTAATCACTAAATTTGACATTTAGCTATACACATGTTTTTAACAGGCAGTTTTTTTCGTTCAAAAATTTTAAATATTTTTTTTTTCTCAAAAACGGTCAATGTTAGATATAGAGTGTTTGATATCAAAATTTATAAAATTTTACAGAGAATTTAAGTATGTAATAAAAAATGGGGGCATCCATTTAGAATAAGAAAGTTGCTGTCAACTTCCGGTATTTCCGAAAGTGCCGCCATATTGAAAATATTTCTGATCGATAGATCTCGTTGTGAAACTATGATGTGCAAAAAATCTCTGAGCTAGATGTTGTAGTTCACTAGAAACTTCTAATGCACGCTCAGCCTGGAACACCCTGTATATGCTATAGGAATTATTTTTTTGTTTAATATTAATGTGAAATATACCTTAAAAAATATATATGGTCTGTTATTAGCCACAATTAGTCTAGTTATAATAATAGATTTATTAAAATTGTTTTTAAACAATAAAATAAACTTACTTGTAACCAGTAATGTAAAACCCTTAAAACCAATCTCATAAACTAGAATGATAGCCAAACATTAGAATTATATAAACAGTAACCTAGCTCTCTTCCTTTAGGTGGTCTTTATTTTATGCCTTGGGTGTGTATTATTATAAAAGACACTCCTAAAAAAGAAAAAATAACTAAAGTATTATATTAAAAACAATGCAAATTTGTTAAGTAGAATATGACGACGGCGTATAATATTAAACGTGAAAACGTTTTTTGTTCTTTTTTGTATCTGAAAGTATATTATGTAATCACAATGTAATTCTTGAGAATGGGGGACCCTTAAAAAATTATAGTTAAAGCAATACCTAAACAATGGCTAAAAGTCCAGAAAAAATGTAGAAAATACTTCATTGCCTTTATGAACAACACCTAAAAAATTACCTTTAGGAATAAAAAACATCTCCACCAAAAAAAATGGTCGAAAAAATAACAAGCATTATTTCTAAATACGAGGTTAATTAATAAATTCTATTGGATTTTTAAGTAACTTTAGTTTTATTGTATAATATAGACATCAAGAATGTATCTATATTTCCATACACTCGATTTTGAAAAAGAAAATTGGAGAAATATATGTTTATAATGATGATGTAATTGAAATATTTGAAAGTGAAAAAGTCTATAGAAAACAGGCAAAATAATGGCAACTTACATTTTCAGGAGTTTAAACTGGCTTTAAGGAACAGAATAAACATGAATAGTGCACAGAAAATCACTCTTTTTCTATAAAAAATTAGAAAAATTTAAGAGCGGCATAACGACTTCCTGCCAGCATCGGAAAATTTCGCCATAGTCGACGTTGTCAGATTGAATACACGTAAAACTAGTAATACATTTATTTCCAAAAAATCCTTATGGGTATTTCGCCACTGCACTGCAAGAAAATCTACAAAAATAAAATAATTATTATTTTTGTAAACACTTCTGCGTTAAACCCAGTTAAACCTAAACGGACGCTAACAAAGAAAAAAATGCTTAACGTTTCGGAAAGTTATCTCTTTCCTTCGTCGGAAGCAAAAAAATACAAAGAATAAAGAAAAAAACTATTTAAAATATTTAAATTCAACTATTCGAGAACAGTTTACTTTTTTAAAACCAGACACGTCTACAAGAAACCGTTGACGTTCTGTTAAAATCATGGGTTAAAATGTTAAAATGATTAAAATGATATTATATCAAGTTAAACTTCAAAATTAACAATTACTACCTGATAACAATTACTTAATAAGGTAAAACTTTATGGGTAAAACCAAAAAGCCCCAAACTTTCTGTATGATTATTTTTAAATTTTACGTATGTTATGTTTATTTATGTTATGTTCTTTAAAATCAAAGAAGCGATTGCCATACATTACTAACATCTACAGATGCATGAGCAATACATTTATTTTTATTAGATTGAATTAAAAAAGCCTCTGTTATTTTTCTTTTAGAGGCTATCGTTTCTTTCATTATAATTTTTCCGTTATTAAAATTTATTCTGTGCCCTCTGTGTCCCAAGAATGCTGACAAATCTTAGATTTGTGAAAATCTCCCTTTCTTAAATAATCTTGATGTTCTTTAATTCTGACATTTAAGGTCTAGACGTTTCACCAATGTAAAATTTATCGCATTCACAGGGTATTTGGCATAGATGTATTTGGTATATTACATTTTTTGTTTGTTGGTCTGTATTCATTGGTTTAGTATGTGATAAAATGGATCAGGATTTTTTTGGAGAGATGAATCTGCCACATAGGTATAGACATTTTTTATAATACATTTATTGCTGCATAAATAAAATTCTAAAAGAAAATATGTTATTTATTCTATCGAAACAAAACTTGTATTAAATGTTAATTAGATTTATACAGGGGATTTATCATGATTTTGAAAGAGTTCCATTCATTTTAGACGTTTGTTTTAGACTTACAAAAATATTGAATTAGATATTAGTTTAGTTTCAGGATTTCGCTAATATCTTGGCAACCTTGGCCTGAGTTGAAAATCCATAGTTGAAAATTTTCTCACTTTTTCCACAATGGCGCCACCTGTCTTCTTCTTCTTTTTCATGTTTCAGGTCTTAAAGGAACCGTAACCATAGAATCGAAGTATTATTCTTCTTCATTATATATTTATGGTTCAAAACATGAACAACCACAGATTACGTCGGCCTTGTGGTCGAAATGATTGCGCCGCATTCTAGTAGACGCAAGGTCGCCGGTTCGATTCCGGCCTCGGACATGGGTGTTAAATGTGTGTGTGAGTCTGTATTTGTCCAATTTTAAAACGCTAATTAAATAATAAGAAATAAGCTGGCTGAATGTCGTAATAGACAAGTGACCAAAAATAGGAAAAAAAAAACCACAGATTACATTGATTTTCTCTTCTTCTTATATAGGTCATTCGGCCAATATCGAAAAAAATGAATCAAAAGGAAATAGTAGAGGAAATAGTCTAAATTATAATCTATGGTTAACTATTAGACAAAGACAACAACAAAAATAAACAAATACAACAATATGACAACATGACATGTATGACAGTGACAGATAAGATGACATATTTTCAGAGCATATTTTGCTTATCATTTCTCCATTCAATTCTAGAAGTAAATAAAAATTTATTGATTAATATTTTATTGTTAATGCTTTGGTTGCAGAAAAATATAGTAATTTACTTAAATAGTGTCAATAAATAATTAGTTGCTTTCTGCTTTTACTAACTGGCATATCGACAACAAATACCGATTATGAATTCCAAAACAATTCCATTTTTCTAATTTTTGTATTTTGACTAAAACTTATTTGGCTATGAGTTTTGTTGTATCAGATTATTCATTAGGAAGACAGAGATGTAGACAATGGGCGTCTCTTATTACGCAGCAGGTAATGAAGTAATTTCAATGCCAGTGCATTTCTATTTATATTACTCTTTCAGTTGCGTTTAAGACATGTCGATCAAGTATATGTATACAACCTCCAGTCGGACAAAAAGTCGAGTTTTTATTTTACCCTCCATAGATCTAATACTAGTGCCTCTTTCTATACCAGTGAGAAAGTACTGGGAAGGTATCCAAAGTGGAAGGAGTTATTATTTAAAAACTTAGAAACAAACTATGCATGCATTGTTATTAAGATATGGAAAAGTAATAAAAACGAAGATGAAATAATTATTACTTGGGGTGTACATTTTTCCGGCCTGGTATATCTAGGTAGCAAGATTGCAGATTTGCATCCGAGGCATTTTAAAGAAAACACTGTGATATTTTTTATGCAGGGCGGTTTTTTTACTAGTCAGAATTATATAAAAACTGACCTGGACAAAGTTGTACCATTTTATAAGTATTTAAATCTGATAGAGAAAGATAATAATGAATTAGTTCTGTATAAACGTATAGCCATTAAAGCTCCGAAGGGTGAGGTACAAAGTACATATACTCTAGATAAATTAAGGCAGTTACAAGAACTGCAAAGACTTATTAAGAATAAAAAAATTGATGTAGAAAATGTGATAAGTAAGATAAAAGCAACAGAAAATGAGCAAATTGCTGAGTCAGGTGCATCCAGTCATAGTAATATTTCTTTTGGGCATCAGTTACTCACAATGAACTCTTTAAATAAAATGCTTCATGGTAAACCTACACGAAGTGAAAGAGAAAAAATGACTAAACTAAGTAGAGAGATTGAAGTAGCCAAATTTAGAATTAGACTTTTAACTGAGGAAAGAGATAAGAAAAAGGCTCGTGTGGAGCAACTGAAAAAGGAAGAAAGTCGTTTGTGTGATGAAAATGATGATAGAAGTATAGAGATTGAGTTTTGTTTAATAATCACTCAACTAAAATTATTTTTTTTTAGATTCTAGGCTAATGTCTTTTTACCACTCCTTAAACAGAGACATGGAAAGGTTAAAAGAATATAACTACAGTTTTCTACATCATAAAGAGCATCTAATGTATATCACGAGGCAGCTTTATTTCAGACAGAAACAGCTTTTAAAAGAGCTTCTTTTTATCTATCCTATTGAAAAAATTCCAAATGAAAATAAATATACAATGTTAGGGATATATTTGCCAAATTCAGAATTGTTAACTGGTAATTTGTTTTTTTAATGATAAATATGTAGGAAATAAATATTTTTTTTTAATTCTAGATTGCTCTGATCCAGGAGTTTCTGTAGTATTAGGCTACATCTGCCATATATTAATAATGTGTTCCATTTTCTTTCAAGTTCCTCTTAGATACCCCATGAAGCACTTGGGATCAAGATCAGTGATTTATGACCAAGTTTCATCTTTGTTACCTGATAAGGAAAGAGAGTAAGTTCTGAATTGTTTTTATATTTTTATGTACTGGGTGGCCAAATAAGAATGGACGCCGGCTGTATCTCAGAAACTACTTGCCGTATAACTTTGGGAAAAAAATCAGATCAAATCTTCAAAACTATTAAAAAAAAACATTATATATTTTTTGAAAGCAAAAAAAATGTGCCAACTAATACACTTCTAGTAGGGTGCCCTATTATAATAATTCTAGCTCTAAATTTAAAAAAGAATAAGCCTGTTAAAGGGTGAATAAAATTAAAACACTGTACTTATACATTTTTATTTTATTGAAGATTTCAGCTGTATGCTAAAGGAAAAGACAAAGCCCACTTTGGATATGCCGTGTTTTTGCTGAATAAAAATTTAAGTCAATTAAGGTGGTACTTTTATCACTGGTATACGCTAGATTTAAAGGAAACCTTAAAGCACTTGTACCATTTTTTAATAGGTTTGGAGTCTGGTGAAGTTAGATATGGTACGCCAGTTTTAGAAGATTCCTTTCAGAAGTAAGAACATTTTCTATTTACATTTTTAAATATAGGGTGACACACTGTTCTCAAAAGGTATATACAGGGTCGCAGATAGGTATGGAAACAGTCGATTATTAGGTAAAAGAATCGAAAAGCAGCTCCAATAATTTCTCTCATGTTGTCGACAATATTTGGTCGAGTTTTGTAAACACTGTCTTTAACATATCCCCATAAAAAAAACCCAGACTAGATAAAATCAAGAGCATTCTAAGCATTCATTCTATTAATTAGTGAATGCACACTGCATTCACCAACTAATAGAATCATATCAATTCTTTCTGATGTAGGATAAGTTTGCATTTCGGCAAATTTCTGAGAATTTTTTTTGTTTTAACTGACACAAAATGATAACTAGTTGTTAAAGTTGGACTAATTAGACAGTTATGTTGAAGTAACGCCAGACATATCACAGCCACCTAGATTTTATCAAATAATAAAGATCTACTCAGATCAAATTATGTAAATGAAAATATCTAGAAAAATCTTTGTTTGAGGGGTAGCCAACCTACCAATAGTATTTTGAAGAGACATGAATATCGGAATAATATACTGGATGTTCCATTTAAAATAAAAGAGTAACATGCTTTTCAAGGTGGCCAATGGTCAATATTAATTTTGTCTCACCCTGTATAACTTTTTGGATCAAGTTTTAATTTGATTTAAAGTACAACAGTTAATTTAACTACATGTTAGGCTATACCGGGTAAATTCCAATTTAGGTAGCTTTTATTGTAATTTAAAAATTGTTCTTTATTTCTAGAAAATATTCTTTATTTCTAGAAAATATTAAATATGTCAAAAATCTTACATTTTAGTCATATACTTCTCTTATAAAACTCACCTTTATTTTTCTCCCAGAATCCGAAAATCAATTAATATATCGGGTGTTCCATTACAAAAAACACAACTTTGATATGTAACCTTTTTTGGAGACACCCTGTAGAACTCTCTATATTTTTAAGTGCTCTGAATTTACCTACATATGCTCACAAAATTTCATTTCAATACAAACTGTCGTTCTCCTTGGAGCCTCCGCGGCGTATGAGAGGCGCCACCCTGTACAGTCCATAATATTCCTGTTTTTGTAGCAAAAGGCCATATCAACAAATTTTCTACAAAAACTCTTCTTTTGAAAAAAAACAGTTAGTTCTAAATTTAGTTTACATGTACATATGGAGTTTTTTTAGAATTTGCGCCACCATATCGTTCAAATACTTTAAAAATGTTAAATTTTTTTAAGAACAGTTGATCACCCTGTATGTACCGTAAGATTAATAAAAACGACGTCCAGTTGGCTTGGAAATGATGATTGATGACATTCCCCATATAGTTTTATAGTTTATAAAATAACAGCGATCTTCATTTGAAAGCCATCGTCGATGCCATTTTTTTTCAATCTATTGTATATTAATTATGCATATTTTTTATATGTTAGGTCCCACACAGCATCATCTAAAGCAGTAAACATAAAATGTCCGTCAGACAGTTCCGTAGGTACCCCAGCTGGAAACAATACTGAAAGGCCTATGGACAGCTTTGTTTCTTTGGACAAGCTGGTTAGTCTGTCGTTATCTAGTACATCAAGTTCTAATATAAATGATCCTCTCTTAGGTAAAGGTTATTAAAACATAGATGTTTGTCAGATAGTTTCTTTTACTGATTTATTTTTTTATTACAGAAGCTGAAGATGTAATCTGTAGTTGTTGCAATATAAACTTTTAGTTAATTTTAGAAAAAAAAAGAAATATATAGATGTTATATAGGGTTTATGCTTTTCTGTTTAATCTTGCATGTTCAGTGGGGCTGCAGGATATATATAATGATTTTTTTCTGGCTTTACAGACAGCATCTACCAAGAAATCAAAAAAGTCAAGCTTGTAAGTGAGAGCCCTGCAAGCAAAAGCCCTTCTAGAAGAATAAGTTTGTTTAAAAACTCTCATGCTCATTCAAGTAGGAGAAATTCTTCGAAAGGCTCAAGTGAAGTTCTTGCCCTGCCAGAAGCCTATCTCAACAAACAGATCAGTAAAGACTTATTTGATAGGTGCGCTTCTGGAAGGTACAAGTTCTCTGACAAGCAGGCCAATATTGGAAGTAAGTATTTTCCTATCCTCTATTTGATATAATGCTAGCCACATAACTTCCAGTACGTGGGTAAACTACACTTGCGCAAGTATAGGCTTGATGCATTCTCCGGTGCTGCCACCATTGGAGAATATCGTAAACAACCGGCATATACACAGATTTAAAAACTTGTATTATAATTTAATATTGAAGTTGATAAAACTTTTTAGATGAGTTTAGCTACGGTAACTAGCATAGTTTTACGAACCGATTTTGCTAGCGGAGAGCCTAGAAGCCTGTATTTTTAATATTACTCAATTAGAGAAATTTATGAAAAAAATCATCAAAATGATAACTAGATTAATAAAAACGGCGTCCAGTTGGCTAGAAAATGATGATCGATGACATTCCCCATATAGTTTTATAGTTGTATTAAATACAGCATATATATTATATATACATTATATCATACACCGAGATTTCAAATTCATAATAAAAAAGTTGAAAATAATCTTTACATTGCTGACCTGGTTGATATTTATTTGAATCTTTCAATTGACTCGATTTTCCATATTCAATGTTAATTAGCGCTAATCAATATTAGAGAACAACGTCATACGGTCGAGTCGGCCGCTCCTGGCACGTATACGTAGACGTAGAAAGAATCTTTTACGTGTATAAAAAATAGAAAATATAAGAAATGCGCATGCGTACGTAAACGTTTACGTGTTTGTAGACCGATTCGACCGTATGCCGTTGTTCTCTATTATTGCGATGAATATAATCAGATTAAATAATTTTAAAAAAGCAGACTCGGACTTGAAATTATTTTAAATAATAATTAAATAGTTTTGTTGTTCTTAAGGTACCAAAAACAAAAAAAAGTATAAAGTGTGGCATATCATTGTACTTAGGAGACCAAGGTCTTTCAAAAACTGAATAAAAAATGCAGGTCCGTATTTAAAAAAAATAAGTTGGCTTCTGTATCTCACAAATTATCGGCTAATTTGAAAATCTAAAAATACTTAATAAAGTGGCTATGAGAATGTGCAATTACTTTTTTAATTTTCTAAAAAGTAACGACAGGAAAATATAAAATTGATTTTCAAAAAAATCCGTTTTTTCAAAAAATCCCAGCAATCCTTGAAATATTTAAAACTTTTTTGATGGCTTCTTGGTGAACATCCCAAGGCGCAACTTTGTCCCAATTTAACTATCTTCGTATCTATTACGGATACCGAGATACCAATGCTCGTACCTCGAATTTGTAGCACCCTGTATATTACGAGTATAATAAAACAGATATAATAACAGAAAACAGAGTGATATAATCGATAAAAGAGCACACATTTTGATTGAGTAGATTAAATTCAACGATAACAAATTTCACATCATTTTATATTTTCTATAAATTGATATCATTTTATATTCCAGATGCTGAAAACTATTTCAATAGAATAAAGGTCAGATCTGGAATAGAGGAGCATCAGGCAAACACTGACATCACTAATTCTGAAGCTAGTGATGTAATTGAAGAAGGTAATTATTGAAACTAAAAATGAAATTCTCGTTTTTTTTGCGAGCTTCAATGCCAATAAAAATTATTTTCCAGGCACTGATCCACTGGATCCTTCCACAAATCTGGATTCCATAATAACAAAGTCCATAACGATCAGGCCAGAATCTGCCTGCAGTCAGAACATCAAGTTTTCTCTGCAAAATAAGCGTATAAGTAGATCGGCGGGATCGTACGTAGATGACGAGGTCAACAGTTTTTTAAGCGATCCGCTAATAAACGTCAGCTGTGATAAAGCCATCGGTAATGGTAGCGCACCCATAAATACGATTTCTGTTGAACAACAGAATTTGTTAGAAGAATGGCTTTCAAGTAAGTTCAAAATAGTCTTGGAGTCTATTACGCTGTACTTTCGGGTCGCTCTCGGGGGTGGGGTGGGGTAAAGCGGATGTGCGGCCGAAGGAAATACATATTATATTTCAGAAATCTGCCTAAGGCTTAGCCCGAACCTGTTATGTTAAGCCACATTCAAAATTCCAAACGCACGTGCTTTGATTAAGGCTTAATTAAGGTTTGCAGAGCTTCAGCATTTGCTATAAAATAGCGAGCAATTTGTTACAAAACCATATAAATTATATATCACTGTAACAACAAAACTTCAATCTATTTTTGTATTGTAACGGAATTTTAAATGATGTCTTTATTTTAGAGAAAATTTAGTCCAAATATAAGGAATATTTTGTTGATGTGGGTTAGGTTCACCATCAAAATTTTAAAAATAAAGTTGTCTAAAAATGTGATATAATATGGATATAGTATAATCCTTTATCGTTAATTTCCTTCTTCATTTGTGTAAAAATACCTAGTTTTACATAAAACGTTAAATGCCGAACGCTTATTTTGCTACTTTTTCGGACTAGTTGGATTCTTAAGATCCAGCTGTAGGATTCCTACGCTCATCATATTTTTAATCAAAGTCTAATTTTTACGTATATTTATGAATAGGGGAATACACTTTTAACAGGGTGCCAATCAAAAAGTTGCCCCAACTATGTTTAATTAATAATAATAATAAATGATTTTGGAGATGACATTACGTTCGTAAAATGTTTTAATCATTTATATGGCAAATTAAACCTATTTTTATTCTATGCATGATGTTGTAAGGGTGCCTATCAAAAAGTTGCCGCAAATACGGGTTGCCACGGTTTAAAGTCGTTCCTAATACTTTATACGGGCCCGGCAACAGTGCGTCGGGCATCTGTAGCTGCTATAATAAAAAACTTAGCAATTTTGTATAAGTGCCAACCTAAAGTATGTTAAAAAATGTCTATACCTATGTGGCGGATTCATCTATCCAAAAAAATCTTTATGGGTTTTTCGCCACTGCACTGCAAGAAAAATCTACAAAATAAAATAGTTATTTTTTGTAAACACTTCTGCGTTAAACCTAAACGGACGCTGCTTGTCAGAAGTTGTGTTTACAGTAATAAAAATTTGCCTAACAAAAAAAATGCTTAACGTTTCGGAAAGTTTTCTCTTACCGTCGTCGGAAGCAAAAAATATAAAGAATCGAGAAAAAACTATTTAAAATATTTAAATTGAACTATTCGAGAACACTTTACTTTTTAAAACAGATACGTCTACAAGAAATCGTTGACGTTCTGTTAAAATGACATTATATTAAGTTAAACTTCAAAATTAACAATTACTACCTGATAATTACTTAATAAGGTAAAACCAAAAAGCCCAAACTTTCTGTATGATTATTTTTAAATTTCACGTATGTTATGTATTTATTTCACGTATGTTATTATTTTTAAATTTCATGTATGTTATAAATAAACCTAACATACGTGAAATTTTAAAAATAATCATACAGAAAGTTTGGGCTTTTTGGTTTTACCTTATTAAGTAATTATTTATTTATTAGTTTGGGCTTTTTGGTTGTCCCACAAGGCGGCCGTGACGCGCGAGCTAGCGAGAGGAAAACTGGTAGCGGCAGTGTTGCCACAGCTACCCCTTTGTAAAATTATTCATCCCCGCTATCTTGTGATAATCTACCCCGATGAAAAATAAGCTTATGGCAACATTGGGTAATGATCTGTGCTATACGCAGCTAAGAAAATTACTATAATAAACTTGATCTGATACTGTACCAACATCTGTTCTGTTATGCTCCGCCCACTACATGCGTAATATCTTATCTTTCCGTTATTGTATCATGGCCACTGCTACCCGGCCGGGTGAGAGAATTATTGTTTTTTAATAAAAATTGAAAAACAAATTATAAAGCTAAAATAATATACGGTTTTATATTAGCTCTATTTTTTTTGAAGTTTATAAAAAGCATTCATAAAAAAATATACAGGGTGGGACCACTTAAGATGGATACAAGCCAATATCTTGGTTGTTTGTTGAGCGATCTTTTTCATTTTTGGCAGGAGGCTATATGGCTATAAGTCGTACATTTTGCCCAGCGTAAGAAATACGGTACCTCATAGACGTACTAATGGGGTTTGATATTTTTCGAGTCAAGAGTAAACTACCCTTAGGACAGTATTGATTTCAAATCTTATATTGAATTCTCCTTACCCAAGATACTTAAGTTATAATTTTTATAAATATTGAGACAGGGTGTGTTATTAAAATGAGACATTTTTATTTTATTATTATTTTTTTAAGTACTTAGGACGCCACTGGATAAACAACTGGTTTATTATCAATATCCAATTATCAATTAATAATTGATTCCAGTTTTCAGATAGCTTCCATAATATTTAAGATACAATACAAAAAAACTAAATATTTTCTTTAAAAACTGTTTACTTTAAAAAATTGTTTTTTAAGTTTGCTAATACAAATGAATAAAATGAGTTACAAAATAATTTAAGAACCCAGTTTTCAATGGAATCTGAAATATGATTTTTATTCGTTTTATTGAGGAATATTTTAGAAAAGCGAAATAGTTATTTAAAACAATCACTATTAATTTTGAAAAATATGCTCTAAACAAAGATTTATAAAACAATAACGAACTAAAAGTCAACATCTTGGATCATCTTCGACCAAACTTAAATGGATTATTAATTGATAATTGGATATAATTGGTTATTCATAATAAACCAGTTGTTTATCCAGTGGCGTCGTAAGTACTTAAAAAAATAATAATAAAAATAAAAATGTCTTATTTTAATGTACACACTCTGTATCAATATTTATAATTTTTTTTTGTTTTTACTCTTGGCTTTAGGTCGTTGGGGTTGCAAAGATGTTTCTAGATTTTGTTCATTATTTTTTTATTTTATGACGACGTTTCGACAGTATATGTCTTTTTCAAGCCTCTTGAACGTAGATTCTTACAGAGTTAAAATTTGTTAACACTGGACAACACAATAACACATATTAACTATTGTTTTAATTGTTTTTGGACATTACACTTTACTATAGAGCACGTACGTATTTCCTTGCAGATCGCTCTGTATAAAACACATTTATCATTTCAATACCCGATGTCTACTTTTAAACAATAATTGAAACAATAGTTAATATGTATTATTGTGTTGTCGAGTGTTAACAAATTTCACTCTGTAAGAATCTACGTTCAAGAGGCTTGAAAAAGACATATACTGTCGAAACGTCGTCATAAAATAAAAAAATAATGAACAAAATCTAGAAACATCTTTGCAACCCCAACGACCTAAAGCCAAGACTGAAAACAAAAAATATATAGTATACAGGTCAAAGAAACGAAAAAAAAAAATATATATATATATATATAAAAATTAGAACTTAAGTATCTTAGGTAAGGAGGATTCACTATAATTTATCAGATTTGAAATAAATACTGTCCTAAGGGTAGTTTACTCTTGACTCGAAAAATAACAAACCCTATTAAAGCGTACATCTATGAGGTATCGCATTTCTTACCCTGGGCAAAATGTACGTCTTATAGCCATACAGTCTCCTGTCAAAAATGAAAAAGAACGCCCAACAAACAATCAAGATATTGGCTTGTATCCATCTTAACTGGGACACCCTGTATATCCTTCAGATCCTTCAGTTTAATAGCTGTTAGTAAGAAGTTTCACTTCAAATATGCGCACATAGTGCATACACAATTTTTTTAAAATGAAACACCCTCTATATTCCTTTGTTAGATGGAAAATTAAAAAATTAACATTTTTTATATTTAAAGTATTTTAAAATTGTTAACGGTTTCGCAGATATTCGCGTTTTTATTACATATGGCTCTTTCGACTATAAAATACTAGACTGACATTGACACAAGATAGAGCTTTTGAAATACTTTAGATATAAAAAAATGTTCACCTTTTAATTTTCCATCTAACAAAGGAATAATATTGCAATTTGAGTCAGTAACATATTTCTGAAGACTCCTATCTCATATTCTAATATTTAAACTTTCTATCAAGTATTTATTTTATTTTTTTATTAATTAAACTTTCTTATCATTTCCTTATTTGCTATTATTTTTAGATGAAAGCAATCTACTTCAAGTAAGCAGCGAGATATCAGGCGGCGCACTACGTGCCTCGCTCCAAGATCTATCGTCCCCTCTGACAGCCAGAACTGACAGATTGATGTCCGCAAATCAGTCGTTTAACTTGGTCAAACACAGAAACGAGTAAAATATTATTAGCGTCCTTTAAATTAAGTAGGCTGGGTTTACCAAAAATCCAGATATGAAACTCTCTGGAAGTAAGATATTTATTTATACAGATTTTTGGTTTATTATTATTCAAGGTTTTTAAAAGTTTTGTGTATTATTATAAACGTTCTTTCTTATAAGTTATATGGAATATGAATATTCGGAAACTTTTAAAACTTTGCTTTATCCTCCGTAAATGTAACATTTGTACATAAAGAATATTTATTTTTTTGTTATGTTTATTTTGTTTATACAGGGTGTTTTCTATGTTGTCTTAAAAAGTTTAGGGTGTGATTCCTTCATATAAACATGGTGTCTAAAATACTTCCTTTTTGATCTACAGGGTATTTAAATTAAAAAAAAAGTTGAATTTGTCACAATATGTCGGAAATTACTTCAGATATTTTCTTTCGGTATTTGGCTTTTATAGTATAAAGGCAGTTTTTTCCATTAACTCAATGATTAAAAACCACAAGGACGCGTAAGGTCCATATAAGGGCTAGAGCAGAATTTGTGCTGTTAGACACCATCAATTTGGAGCCTACGGATGAGTCAATAGCGACAATTTTAGCGATTTTTAATAGTTTGTTGTGTGTAGTGGACTTTCTATAAACTTTATTACAATGGTGATGTGTTCAACTTTGACAAAGAATTTGATAATTATTTTTCTGGTATTATACAGGGTGGCGCGTGGCGCATCTCATTCGCCTCGGTTGATTATACGAAAAACGGAAAGATGTAAAAATATTTTTTTTATGAGTAGGTATATGTAGAGAGGCAATGTGCATAATTTAAAATTATTTTCAAATGTACAGGGTGTGTCAGAACTAAGATCTATATCAAAGTTATATTTTTTCTTATGGAACACCCGGTATTTTATTTCAATCTTCTAGATGTAAATATGCATGCTATAATAAAAAAAAATGTCAACACCCTGTACATTACTTTTCAGAGTTAATTCTTTTGCTGATTATGACGCCAGAGAAATAAACTTTACTAAAAAAAAATATTGCTTCCTTTAATGTATACAGGGGTATCAAAAATTGCTGGTCAATTTTAAATATTTATTTTACATAAAAACTTCGTTATTTCAAATACAACACTATATGTATTTTTTAAAATAAGTCGAGGCAGATTTAAATGAGCAAACTATATTAGGGATTTCTATATTCGGCTCAGCTCAGATTTTTAATAAAAGCGATTTTCAATAAAATGACAATCAAGATGGCAGGTGTCGCCATGGCAATTTGCTAGTGACAGTTAGTAGCTATTTTCAAAATCGACATTAGTTTATGGACTTTATATTTAAATTTATAACAGTTTACTTTTATTTAATTTACCTACAATAGTTTAATAAATAAATATTAATTATTTTGTCAAGAAAAATAAAGAACTAGTTCTTTGATTTATATTACGACGCTTGTATATTGGATTTTCTATAAAAGAATCAATTAGTGAAAATTCATTTTCTTCACTTCCAACGACAGCCTGATAGGTTTTTCATATACCACACTATCAGCTCTGCGAAATAGGAAAAGTAGTTTTTCAAAGGAATGCTTGTCAAGAAAATTCCTATTTGGATATCCTTGAGCATATACCCTTTAGGCCAACAAGCAATTGCCCTCATAAAATAAAATCACTAGTAACATATCCATTCCTTCCGCCAGCAGATACTGCTTCATTTTTCTTGATAAAATAATAAATCCTTACTTATAATAACCTTTACTGTAGGTAAATTAAATAAAACTAACTTGTTATAAATTTAAATAAAGTCCATAAACTAATGTCCTTCTTGAAAATAGCTACTAAGTGTCACTAGAAAATTGCCATGGGCACACCAGCCATCTTGATTATAATTTTATTAAAAAATCACTTTTTATTTAAAATCTAAGCCAGATAGGTATAGGGAACCCTAATATAGTTAGAAAGAGCATTTCAATTTGCTTTGACTTATTTAAAAAAATACATAGTGTTGCATTTGAAATAACGAAGTGTTTTTGTAAAATAAATATTGAAAATAGACCAGCACTTTTTGATACACCTGTATAGACTTAAGGGAACAATCAAATTTTTTAGTAAAGTTTATTTCTCTGGCTTGAAAGTCAGCACAAGAGTTAATTCTAAAAAGTAATGTAAAGGTGTTGACAAATTTTTTATTATAGCATGCATATTTCAATATCTTTATATATCTCAAAAGCTAAAGCATTTAAACATATTAAACCCTTATAATAAATGCCTTATTTTATGTCCAAGAATCCAAAATAGAAAATAAAATACCGGGTGTGTTCCATAAGAAAAAATATAACTTTGGTATGGATCTTAGTTCTGACACACCCTGTACATTTCAAAATAATTTTAAATTGTGCACATTGTCTCCCCACATATACCCATAAAATATTTTGTTTTTACATCTTTCCGTTTTCGTATAATCAACCGAGGCGAATGAGGTGCGCCACCCTGTATGTACTTAATTGATATGTGATATACGTCGATACTAGATTTCCGCCTTTTGTTAACATTTTAATACGTTTTTTTCGTAATTAATTAGTATGATACCACTGCGTACACCATAGGCGTAGTCAAAACATTTGTCAAAAATATAAATATGTATCTCCTCAAGCAGCTCAGCTAAGAAAAATATGTGGCTACGGCACAGCCATGCTATATAGTTTGGAGCGATGTTAACAATTTGGCCTCATTGATCCTTGTATTCAGTAGTTTTTGTATTTACTGCTGTTTTCGTACTTGAATCAGTGGCGTCCATACGGTCACAACCCGGAATTATTTGATTACAATAAATGATACGCCACTGCTTTTTCCAAGAAAACTTTTTTTCTTGATTGTCCATCATCTTTTAACAAGATTGATCTCTTTAGTTTTTCTTGTACGTTGAACGCTTTTCAAAAAAAAACTACATTGCATATCTCAAAATCATGTATGCTCGTTTTCTAGCGATTTACTCTAGTATTTTTGAAAACCGTTCAATTTACAAGAAAAACTCAAGAGATCAATCAAAAGCGTGGACCATCCAAAGCATGGACAATCAAGAAAAGAAATGTATTCTCGAAAAAAAGCAGTGGCGTACCATTACTTTAAGGAAGTAATGCCTACTTGCACCGTTTGTATAGACTTTGTTTAAAGGCTAAACATTGATTAATTATAATAAAATATTATATAGTTAATCACTGTTTAGCCTTTAAACAAAGTTTATACAAACGATGCAAGTGGGCATAAGGGATGTGTGCGTACTGCCGCCACTGGTTCAATTAAGAAAACAATAGTTAATGGAAATAAACAGACACCCTGTAGATCAAAAAGGACGTACTCTAGGCCCAAAGTTGACCTTTTTTCTTAAAAACATATGCGGAATCACATCCCAAATTTTTTTATACTACTAGGAAACACACAGTTAAATATACAGTTATTTCACATTTATTAAAATCAAATATATGTAGATATGTATCTTAAGTTTATTGTAAATAAACTTAAGCGGCAATATATTACCAAAATAAAGTCCTAAATATGTAAAAGTTTAGTGTTTTTTTCCTTTGGCGCTTACACTTTTCTTAGGTACACTTTTTCCTTTAGATTTTTCTTTTAGTTTGGGATCTGGACCGCGACTATTGTTTTTATCTGGGTTAGTATTGTGCCAACCACTGGAAGATGTAAATATATTCGGATCGATTTTGTTTATGTTATCTGAATTGTATTGGTGTTTTTCTATTAAATTTCTGTCTTCGTTCAGCACCCCTGGCGCTATAATGTTGAACATTTCTCTGCTCCATTCTGGAAGACCTTCTTTGGAAAAGACATATTGCCAACATGGTATTCCTGCAACATTTTTTGGAATAAAAAATCTGAATAGTAATTGAAAAAAAAATATATGGGGCTTAGGAAATTTCCCAAAACCGCATTTAATTGGTTTTGGTGAAAACTAATATACAGGGTCCGGCAATAGTGAGTCGGGCATCTGTATTTCCTAGAATAAAAAACTTGGGAATTTTGTTTAAGTGCAAACCTAAAGTATGTACTAGGAAAATATTATTTTAACTTCTGTAGGGTGGCTCAAAGAAGTGTGTGTGTGTGGGCCGGGATAATTTTTTTTAAATGGAACACCCTGTATATTATTGCATTTTTGGCTTCCTTTTAGATCACTTTACATAATCCTAAGCTAAGATATGAGAAGATATATTTCGATAATTTGAGAGATATTAATATATAAATAAAAAATTCATATTTTTCAGTATTTCTTAAAAAAATATTAGGTATTTATAAATATGGTAATTGCAAATCATACAGGATGTTCAAAATTCTACGCCAATCTTACGAAAATATAAAATAATTTTTCTTCGTTTTTTTAAATGGAACACCCTATGTATGTTATTTTTTCAATAGATGGAGAATTAAAAATTGATTTTTTTGTACTTAGAGTATTTCAAAATGTTTAATTGTTTTGCAGATATTCGCGGTTTTATATTTCATATGGCATTTTCCACAGTAAATTTTTATCGAAGCCACCCAATGATTTTTCTCTCATATTTTACCGTTGAAAGAGCCATATGAAATAATACTACGTGTATCTGTGAAACCATTAAAAATTTTGATATACTTTAATACAAAAAATGTTAATTTCTTAACTCTCCATCTACTAAAAAATAATATACAGGGTGTTACATTAAAAAAAACCAAAGAGAAATTACTTTATATTTTAGAAAATTTCGCGTAGAATTGTGAATACCCTGTATGATTTAAGATTACGATATTTATATCAAAGTATGGATAGAGCATCTAATATAGTTTTGATTTCAGGACAGTTCTTGTATTTGTAATAAAAAATAATAATTTTCTAAGGAAGGGTTGAAAAAAATATTTTTTATTTATTTATTAATATATCTGAAATTATCGAAATATATTTACTCATATCTTAGGATTATGTAAAGTGGTCTGAAAGGAAGCCAGAAATGCAATAATATACAGGGTATTCCATTTAATAAAAATAATCCCAATCCACTCACACTTTTTTGAGCCACCCTATAGAAGTTAAAATATTTTCCTGAAATACATCCTCATACATACTTTAGGTTTGCCCTTAAATAATATTTTCAAGTTTTTTATTCTAAGAGCTACAGATGCCCGACGCACTATTACCGGACCCTGTATATAGAACTTAGGAAATTTCTGAAAACGGCGTTTAATTGGCCGTAGTCAAAAATATTGTATGGCCAAAAGAAGCAGTGTCAAAATGTTTAAAAATAGATACTGTGGCAGATATCTGTCACTGTCATATATCTTTTTGCTGGACAGGCCATACTTAATATGCTATAGCATATAAGTGGAGTATTACTATATGGCTGCATGTATCAATATTCCTTTTTAATAATTTTACCTAGATGTGCTATACACATTCTAAAATACGTGGTAAAATCTTCGGCTAGATAAGAAAACGTCATTTGGCCCCAATAAAACCATATAGTAGGCGTGGAATATGCAGTTGGATATACCAAAACCACTTTAGCATTATCATCGACATTTGCCAATTCGAAAACCTGAAAATTACATTAGTTTAGTTTTCCCACGTATTAACTGATGTAATAATAGGTAAGTATATTTATACGGACTGTCGCTAAAAAATGAATAAATAAACATGAATAATTTGTGATGTTTTGTTAATTTTGTAAGACAATAAATCTAGAAAATTAAGTCTGCAAGATTATTTTTTGCTTATAGATTATATTATATACTAGCGTGTACCCGCGACTTCGTTCGCGTCGAATTAATCATTTGTAATGGTGATGATAAAGCAAAGCAAGAATTTCCATTAACATACAAACTGGATATAACTTTCTCACATTTACATATGTCAGCATGAGAAAAAACAATATGGCGATATTATTATATAACTTGGTAATATTTGAGGGGTAGTTTCATCTCGTTGGAATTTGACTTTCGAAAAATCCGTTTGCCAAAAATAAGCTTTTTACATCAAGCAGTTTAAGCAGAATCGTGGTTAATCAATTACCCAACTTTTATGATTACCCACCCTGTATGATTTTTTTAAAAATTTCAAAAATGTAAGAAACAATATAAATTATGCGTGTTTCCCGAAAGACTAACCGTTTTTTAAATAACAAATATTGTAATATTTGAGGGGCGTTTTTACCCTCTTGGAATTTGAGATTCGAGAAACCCCTCCTCGAACCGCTACCAAAGATCCTCTACTCCCCACAGTCGATTCGTTTGCCAGAAATCAGCTTTAAACGTCAAGCAGTTTAAGCAGAATTGTGATTGCTCAATGGTTATATTTTATGAAACAACCTGTATAAATTTTTAAAAAATCTTAAAATATGTAAAACAACAAAATAAAATATACGTGTTTAAGAGTTTTTCCGAAAAACTCACCGGTTTTTAAATAAAAAATATTCTAATATTTGAGGGGTGGTTCACCCCCTTAGAATTCGAGTTTCAAAAAATCCCTTCTTATTGAACCTCTACACCCTAAAGTCAATCCGTTTTCCAAAAGATCAGCTTTTTATGTCAAGCGCTTTAAGCAGGATCATGATTAATCAATGACCAGATTTTTCGAAACACCCTGTATACATTTTTAAAAAATCTTAAAATATGTAAAAAAAACAAAATAAAATATACGTGTTTAAGCGTTTTTTCGGAAACTTGACCGTTTTTAAATAAAAAATATTGTAATATTTGAGGGGTGGTTTCACCCCCTTGGAACTGGAATTTCTAAAAATCCCTTCTTATCGAATCTCTACACCCTAGAATCAACTTGTATGCCAAAATAGAGCTTCTTACGTTGAGTGGTTTGAGCAGGATCGTGATTAATCAGTGAGTCAGTCACTTAAGGATTTTATATACTAGTATTAGATAAGATTCATCATCATAGATTATAGGTATTCATATTTTCAGGAACTAAAAACATAAAAACTGCATTTAGTTATTCTTACTTTGCTTTCTCTAGATAAGGACAAAACATGTTTTTTTCCCACGCATTCTATACCAGCATTAGTTTTGGTTTCATATCCGAATATTCTTATCATGTCATTTATTGGGTTAATTTGAATTAGACCCAACCTGAATTCTTTGTCTTCTTCATTGGTAGTACGGTAATCGTAGGAGAACTCGTAAGTAAAAAGAAACCCATTTGTAGAAGAATAAAATCCTCTTAAATCTTCCGGTAGAATAACTCCGTTATTATGCTCCCAAGCTCTAATATCAACTTGTCTATAATTAAAATTAACTGTAATATATACTTTATTATATTTTTAGTTGTTGAATTATTACTATACCTAACTCCCGACAGTCTTTTTAGACTTATTTTTGAGACGCAAGGACTTTTTTCCAAAACTTTTGACAGTCCCAGCAGTAAATTCTCGTAAAATGAATCTTCAGATACCTTGTCGACCACGAAACCCATTTTACTGTAAAAAGAAATCTTTGTTTTATCAGTTTTGTTTTTATCTTCCATTATATTCATTTAAAATCCGATTAAATTCAGTTTATATATTATAAACAGCGCATAAATTTTGAAAGTAGTTCATTTGTACTATGAGTTTATTCGACTTATTTTAACAACAACGCACTAAACTGACTAGAATAATTACCTGTTGTTTTTTATCCAGATTTTTGATTATTTACTGTTAAAAAATACGAAGGTATATAGCTACAAATTTTTATTTAAAATAAAACTGTTTATCGATTAAACAAAATTCAAGAAGTGGAGAATTAAATCAATAAAAATAAAAAGCGCGCTAAAAATCAAACCGCGCCTTCACGATTCCGAGCCCGCGCACGCGCAACTCCGCTCAAAATGTCAGATCGAAATGAAATCTGACAGTGACAAGTCAAACAGTAAAAAATTTTCAATAGTATGTTGATTGTGTTACGCTAGATTTCATGTTGTGCAAAAATGTGGGTTTTCGCCAAAAAACTGACTCTAAATACTAGAATTTTCTTAGTGACTAACCATGACCGACAGATCTGAAGAGTAAGTACCTGAACAACTCCTTTTTTACGGCCGGGTTTGGCGGGTACAACATCCTTTCCCTGGTGGTTGGTCCGGGCCAAAGACGCACAGATTGTTCGTGAAAGGCGTTACTTGGGGCTTTCTATTTCGTATTTCGAAAATATCTCACCAAAAACGGCCGATGTTAATTGAAAACCGGCGATTTGATGGGGCAGGAACGTTTTACAGCTGCTTGTTTCAGGCTCTATGCCAAGTTAATTCATGTAAAACTCCGCATATTAATCAATGGAACATCCATTCATAAGTTTATCCTGGCTTATTCCGGATAAAAATACAACGTCCCTCACCTTGTAAGTCGGCGTTTTATAAACATTATTAGGGGGGCATTTGCCTTGCCGTTTTTTTCCTTTTTGGCAAGTAGAAGGGTGTTCTGGGTAAAGAGGGTGGTTTCTTGAGCTGTCAATTTTTTTATACTTGATCTTCAGTTGTTCATCGTTTTATCTTTAATTAATTGTCAGGTTTTTAAATGCTTTCCTATTTACAATTATTGTTTACAAAAATATTTAATTATCAAAATTACATCTGCATTAAGTTTTCTAATTTTTCTAACCTAGCAGTTAAATAATCTGTACTAAATAGTTGATAAGGCTTCAGATCTAATCGTTTTCGCTATTTAATTAAAAATAATTGGAAATTTGTTATATTTAAAAACCATTTTATTTTGTAAAATAAACAGTTCTGTTGTGCACGGTTGGCGGTGTTTTTTGTAGGCAAATGGTATAACATCCGATTTGGTCGTTACATAAACTTACTGAAGCAATAATATTGAGCAGTTTAATTTTAATTTTCTGGTTTCCTGTTTACGGGCAATTGGTATTAACGATAGACGTCATCCTAATTTTTTTCCAAGATTTTATCCAACGCTGAATATTCAGTATTAAGAAGTTGAACTTATGAACTAATTATTTTTTATAATACTTTTAAATTTTATACTTATTTTATTATTATTGAAGGAAAGGTTGTCTGAAAGGACCAATATTGTGTTTAATAATAATTAAGTATTTTTTTTAGTAAACCTATCAAATATCTCTTTTACAGTAGGCATAACTAGCCTATAAAATATTGTACAAAATGATCGAAAAAAAACGGCGTCACCGATGGCTTTGAAATGAAGATCGCTGTCATTTTATATGTGAAATTAGGTACATATATTAGAAATGTCATCGATCGTCATTTCCAGGCCAACTGGACGCCGTTTTTTTTTTCGATCATACGGTATAAATTTAATTGTTTTATAATTTAGTGTTAGCACTGCTAAGTGCACTTTGATTTGAGTCTATTTACATATATTATAATCTATAATATTGTCAAATAATACAATATGGTCGAAAAAAAACGGCGTCAGCGATGGCTATGAAATGAAGAGCGCAGTCATTTTCTATGTAAAATTATATGGGGACTGTCATCGATTGTAATTTCCAAGCCAACTGGACGCCGTTTTTTTTCGATCATACAAAAGGAAAAGCTTTTTTATTATTGAAATTTTGAGAAAAATGCATTTTTCATAAAAAAAATACTTATTAATAATAAGATGGTTAATCCCGTTTATATTTTTCCAAATTTCCATACCGTTTTAGTGAAAATTTAAAAAAACTTGAAAACATAGTTGCATTTTTTTCTAAAACTACCTTTTTATTTTTGGGTCTTATTGTTTTTCGAATTTTCTCTAAAACGATATGAAAATTTGGAAGAGTATAAACCGGATTAACCATTTTAGAACAAGCAAACTTTTTTTTTATCAAGAATGCATTTTTCTCAAAATGTCAATAATAAAAAAGTTCTTCCTTTTGTAAAGACCATTCGGGGACATACTGTATACGTAATGTAATACTAGCTGAGAGTACTAAAATTGATAGGTATTTATTTGACACCGAAGTCAAGCAAATATGAAAACATTACTAAAAAACTTTCAATAAAAAGGTAGAAAATATTACTACATACTTGGTATAGTTTATCCAGCGAGACAATATAGATAGATAACACAATAGACAATAGAGATAAGCAACAGCTAAAAATACAAAAAAAAAACTTTTACTTTTGAATGAACCTCTTTAAAATGAGAGCTTGTTGTATTACAAGATAATTATTAACCTCCCCATCTACAGATTGTCTCAAATTCGAGGGTAACTGTTGAATTGGTATCTCGGAATTGATATCACTGTCTTATAAAGAGAAAAAGTGACAATGATGAACTGGCATTTCAGTAAAACATTTCTCTAAAGCCAAGAAAAATATAGATTTTCCTTTTTTTTATTTTTCGAATATCTTTGGAAGTATTCATTTATTTTTAATTTGAAAAATGACATTTTATTGGTCATAAAATTGCGCAACTTTTCCATAATTTGGCCTATTACGTATCCCTTATGGTCTCCGATGTCCCAATGTCCGAACCTTCAATTTGGGACACCATGTATACGCAACATTCAGTTTTTTTGCGTATCTTTTAAAAGACGCTTACTGAAATTTTAGCCATTTGCGATTTCGATGCTTGGTTGTTTGACAGTTGTTTAAAGGAGTTGACGTAAAGATTATTGTGAAAATGAAGAACATCGAGTATCGACCGGTCAACAAGTATTAATTTTTGAAAGGCAATATACCTACTCAAATCAAATACAATTATATTTTTTTGAAATGGCTATTAGCCTGTTCCACTGCGACCTTTTTAGATCTATAGTGGTATTTTTTTGATCTCTAGGTTACATTCTCCAGTCCTATCCATTTCAACCCTTCACATAGCTCTTTGTCAATAGCTTATCTTGTCTAATACAAAAAACCTCGCATTTACCAGGCTATGGCACTGATATAAAATACCTCTCTAATTCACAACGATGTTAAGTTTTGTAAGATACATACGTACGCTGATGACACTCAGATGTATGCCTCTTTTAATAGGAATTCTTTAAATTTTGCCATTAATATGATCAATGAAGATTTACAACATATCTATACAGTCTCTAAAATATGAATTACAGTTGAATCCAACTAAAACACAAGTTGTCATATTTTCAAGTAAAAATTGCTGTCATGATGTTTGCCAATTAGCTAAATTTAAGATTAATAATGTCAATCTTGATGTTGTTACCGAAGCCAAAAATCTGGGTATTATAATTGATCACAAATTTGAAATACAAGCAACACATATCTGCATCTATTCAAAGGGCATTTTCGGCATTAAGACAGCTTTATCCACTGCGGCATTTTTTAAATAATAAGGTAAAAGCCAATCTATGCAATACCTTAGTTTTGTCCCATTTCTCTCATTGTTCCGTCGTTTTCTCACAGTCGTTAAGTATGGATGATATGTACAGAGTACAGAAAGTACAAAATTATTGTTTAAGATATATATTTGGTTTGCGAAAATATGATCATGTAGCACATACTTTTAAAACACTACATTGGTTAAATATGAAAAATAGATTTCTTTTGAATAATATTATATTATATCACAATATATTAATATCTCATAAACCAGTATATCTTTTCAATAAAATTCAGTTGAGACAAGAGGCTCATAGTATTAACATTCGTCATAAAACTAATATATCAGTTCCTTACCACAAAACCTCCCTCTACGAAACATCTTTCAGTTATTCGGTCTCAAAGATCTATGCTCAGGTACCAACTCACTTAAGGAGTTTTACGAGTATTTCGTTCAAGACCAAGGGCTCGTTTATGGCTTTTCGAAGAGCAGTGCAAAGATGTATAAATGAGTGTATTTGTATTGTTATATTATACATATAGTCGTTTAATTATAATTTCGCGATTGTTTGCGTTTTCTTTTTATTTAACATTTATTTGTTTTCTTGTAAATTTCTTGTATCATTTTTTTTTCTTTCTGGAGTTAAATGGAAGAGCAGAACATAATTTATGTTCTGAATTTCGCTTCATTTTCCACTGATTTTGTATTATTCTGTTATGTTCATATCATTGTGTTTATTATATAATTACTTGCTCTTGTATTTATTTTTCTGGGAAATAAAGACAATTACATACATACATAAAATGTATTCTGCCATTTTTTCTTCTGGTTTGTAAATTCTGCACATAGCTTATTCATCAACTTAAGCTTGAAATGCCGTGTTAGTAGAGCCACTACACTTTTGACAGTCTAGCTATGTCTTTGCTTGTCATCTCCTTCGTAAATTTTGGTCATTGTTTTAATATGAACTTTATCTTGTCTCTGTCCTGGTGAATTTTTCTACTATTCTAGACAATATTCTACAAATTTGTTGGTCCTCGCTGTTTTGTGGCCATTATTGTAATTGCTTTGTGGCCATTATTAATATTGCTATGTTCACCCAATGTATTTAGAGCACACTAGTCTAGAATTGACCTCTGTACAGGGTGGGTTAAATTCGACGCTTTTAAATGGAAATACCCTTTTCTATAGGAAATAGACAAAAACTAATATCGGTATCTGGAGCTCAATTTTTGTCAAAAACATGATGGTGAAAACCGCATATCGATATCTGTTACCGTTTCGGAGTTTCGGGGTGTCTTTCAAAAATATGAATTTTTAACAAATCGCTGTAACTTTTTTGCTATAGAAATTTTTGTATTTTTATGAAAACATTTCCAAAGCACCTTTTTACGTAGAATTTAATGGTTTAAGTATAATTTTTTTAAAATTAATAATTTAAGAATTATCAACAAAAAAATTGATTTCTTATATGAGACACTCTGTATATTTTTAATTTATTGGAAAGAATTTAAAATTACCTTTCCAAAAATATAACACACTTGATATTTTGCTCGATTCCTCTTCGAGATATAGAGTATATAAAAATTCGCCCGCTTTAAATAAGTAGGCTTTGAATGGCACCGGCTCTAATGCAAAAAAATTCTAGCTGTGAGAATCAATTAAAACGAAAATAATATTTGCAATGAGAGATACAGAATTTTATAACAATTTAAAATATATTTAACCAACATCAACACATTTAAACTATATCTAATAACAATAAAAATAAATAGCAAACCAAGACATGAGATTTTGCTACAGGTGTTCGACATATCAATCGTCTTCTGTTATGGACAGACGGGGCAGTTTTTGAACATTTCTCGCGGAATTCATTAACTCAGTGGAGGTGAAAGATACCCTCTCATAACTGCTAAGTATTTCTAATTCTTGTCTAAATTATACCGAAAAATAAGGAACATTTATTCTTCTGCAAATATATCAATATGATTAGATCCATGGGCACTAAGTCAGGCGACCTCGATGGCCAACGGCTGGGATCTTGGTTAGCTATTCAATTATTC